AAGACAGTAAAGACCAAAATGGATGTCAGAAGAGACTCTGAAACTTGCTTCTGAACACAAAGTAGCTAAAGTGAAAAGAAGAAATGAGGGAGTAAAAGAGCTGAATAGAAGACTTCAAAAGGTGGCTTAAGAAGACCAAGTAAAGTATTATAATGAAAGGTGCAGTCCCTTCTAGTTTCTTCCTTTTGGATCTTATGCTACTGGCTTGGGTATTTCCCTATCACATGTCTGTTGAATGCTTTCTATAGGCCAGGGGCTATGTTTCATCTAACAGCGTTATCACACAGTCCATCCTCACAACAAACATAGGGAATCAATTATTATTATCACTTCCATTTTACAAGTGAGGAAATCAAGACAGGGAGTTTAAGCCACTTAGCAAAGGTGGAGAATTCAAAGCCAGGTTTTCCCAACTGCTCTCAATCATTATATGCTATGTGACTATTACAGCCCTTGATTGTACCTGGTTTGAGTCCTGTCTTTGTATGACTCTGCACTGGGCTAGCTTATCTCATAAATTACTTGTATTAATACCTTTGTGTGTTACACCTGCCAGGCGACATATGCACATATTAACCAGGGTCCATCATCTTTGAACCAACAAGGACCTCATGATGGGATTCTCAGGCCTTGCAGCTGGTAGATCAGGGAGAGATTCAACACTGACAGGGCTTAAACACATCTTTCAAATATCAACAGCACATGGGCAACTCAACTCTCAAATGAAGCTGCCAGGAGCTACACCATGTCTTCTAGTTCAATCCTAAAATCTGCAAGTTTCCCAGTGGCCACAAACTACTCATCACAGAATGATAAAGGAAACAAGCCCATGGTTTGGGGTCAGTGGCCTCAGGTTGACTAAGAGAGAACTAGATGAGTTACTTAGCCTCTCCTAGCTTCTTCTCTACTAAACAATCTTGGGCAAGTTAACCTATTTAAGTTTCAGTTGCTGATCTATAAAATGGATGTTTTAGGGACAGAGGAATACCTGGCTGTAGGGGAAGCAAATATTAGCTGCTGAAAGAGTAAAGGAGCTTAGGGAATGGGACAATTGTTTCCAATAACCTTATGCCCTAGGCTAGAATCAACAAGATCAGTTGCCAGGGAGTTGTTTCTGACTCATGGTGACCTCCTGCATGTCAGAGTACAACTGTCCTCCACGGTGCTTTTAGTGCTGATTTTTCAGAAGGAGATCACCAGGCCTTCTTCTGAGTCATCTCAGGGTGAGTTCAAACCTTCAACCTTTTGGTTAGCAGTAGAGCCTTTTAATAGTTTGTGCTACCCAGGGACTCAAATAGAAAGGTGGAAAGCTGGAAATCAATTAGAAATTCACTGTACTCAAAACCAGACACTCAAATCCACTGCCATCAAGTCAATTACAACTCATAGCAACCCTTTACAACAGAGCAGAACTGCCCAATAGGGTTTCCAAGGGTGTAAATCTTTATGGATGCAGACTGCTTTTTCTTTCTCCCATGGAGCGCTGGTGGGTTTGACCACCAACCTTCTGGTTAGCAGTTGAGTGCAACCACTACTTGCCAATCTATGAAACCCATGCCAGTGAGTTGGATGCCCTATTATGGCAAAAGCCCTAGGTGGATAAGACCTGTAATTCCACTCTGCCAGGCCACTTGGCAGCTCATGCTGGAAAGCAGAACCTCACCCTTTTCAGGTGAGAGGTTCCCAATTGAGCTAAGTAGTAGCGTACAATCACACACCACCTCTCACCATCTGAGCACCATGAGGTTGCCTGGGTAACAGAGAGCTATTCTGAGCCTTCTCTACGGGATTCCGACTTCTCCACCCATACCCTATGGGCTCCCTTTGGCCTTGTATTCTGAACTCCCTATGGAGACCTCTTCCTCCTGCTTCACAGGATCCCACGGGACATGAAGGGAGAAGAAACTGACCATGTAACTGAGCCTTGGCATTTATTTCCTTAGTTACGGCACATTTCCATTTATGGAGTGCCTTCCCTTATAAAATCTCCCAGTGTTTACTTCTAATCTACAAAATGTCTCTGACCCTTCTTGTTTTTACCCTTTAAATATCTGTAGATGGTTCATTCACCACATTCCTCATTCAATTATTAATGGCCCACAAAAACTTACTAGCAGCAATCATTTACTGATTAATCTACACAATAATTCAGAAAGACAGGTAGTATTAATCCTTAGTTCTGCACAGGAAAACGAAGGGGAAAACAGGTTAACTCAGTTGCCCAATGTCAGTGGCTAAACAAGATTATATCTAGGATCTATCTTGGTTTGTATTTCTGTCAACACTTCTCAATGTACTGTTGTCTTTCTTTAAAAATCAACATTATCAATGCAGCTAGATAATTTCTGTGCTGAGATTCAAATTGTCAAACTGAATTGTTTCAAATTGTCAAATATATCCCAAAAACATATTGTCTGCTAAGAGTTCATAAATTAAAGTTGCTACAGTTCATTTAATTATAAATAAACTTGCAATTGCAAATAAAGTTTAACTGCAAACTTTACAGAAGGAAAAGAGTAGAAGTGTAATAATGGGGATTGTAGACCACCCACCTCTGCTACCACTACACTCTGAGAGAGGCATTTAACTTCCCTGCATCTCTGTCTCATCTGTAAATAGGAGATTACGCTCAGTGATATTTAAGCTAGCTTTCTCTTTTAAATGTGGTGACTGAACACTTCCTAAAACACCACAAAATTTAAAAGTCCCAAAACCCAGTGCTGCTAAGACTGACATCTTAAAATGTAAAAATGTACATTCATTCACTGCTAAGTAAGTAAATGACTACAATCCCCTTGGAAGGCAAGATGGCAATATGCAGTGAGAACCTTAATGAATTCTACATCCTTTGACTTAGTAATTTAACGTGTAGATAGTGCTTTATGCTGGGAAATAAGTCAACAGATGCAAAAAGATATACAAACAAAAATGCACATTTCAGTACTAGCTACCAGAGCAAAAACTGATATCCATGATAATGTCATCTTTAGAGGGATGTCTTATTAAATAATGGCACAGCAAACAATATGAGTGTCATGTTGCTATTGGAAAAGTACACAGGTAGTCCCCAACTGACGATGTATTTGAGTCACTATGAAAATGCAGTTATAACCATCCATTTCTCAGGTTTTTTTTTTTTTTTGGCCATCTTATCACAGTAATATATACTACCTCCAATGTTGCAGCACATAATTTTCTGATGTTATCATTCGCAGATGTTCATTTGCAGATGTTCAATTTTATGATTTACTGTTCAAAACACTACTGTATTTTGAAATTTATTTTAAAAAAAAAGAGAGAGAGAGATTCGACTTATGTCAGAACTGACTTATAACAGTGCCATCAGAACGGAACCCAGTCGTAAGTCAGGGACTACCTGTAAGTATGAAAATTACACAAAAGCATTTTAAAAGTTCACCAATATTCTTAAGTGAAATAAAAGTAAAAGAACAGATAAGCACTTTCATAGCAACTCTATAAAATATGAACGGATGGACAAGGTCACATAAAAAAGCAAAATAGTTATACTATTAGTGAGGCTTATTGCTTATTTTTTAAACAATATTTAATGCTTTTCATGAATCTCGTTTTTCCATTAAAACATACTCTTTATGATTAAATCAATACACTTAATAAATTTCTTTGTTGTATAATTCTTTGGTGTCTTCAGAATCTCAGAACCCTTGCACTTCTTTTCCTCAACTAAGAGAACTCTTAAAAGTATCTGTCTTGTAATCTAGCTGGAAATTACCCATGACTCCCTTATAATGCTAAGTTTTGGTAACTGCCTGACCCAGAATTCAACATTTTGCTCTAACCCTAACCTGTGGTTACTTCTGCAGCAACCACAAAGTTGCCATTATCCACTTCACAGTCTATGGGGTGACTTTACATTCTAAATTTTTGGAGCACTACAGTAAGACATCTTATCTTTTCAGGGGTCTTAGGACACCCTCCAGCTCATGTAGGAAAGCACCTCCAAGCAGGCTGCCCCCAAGGAGGGCTGCACCTTAGGACCTTCCCTACACGTAAGGATTTTCACATCTGTCTTCATTTCCTAGAAATGTTCTCTTACTAATAGGTCACTTGTACATCTTTGCACATAATATCTGGGAAAGATTGCAGAGCCAATGAATTAAAAATATGATTTTTAAGTCTCCTGTGTGCCAATGAATTCCCTCATTAAAGCAGAATGAGCGAGATGAAATGGGTTTCAAAGCTTTCCATCCCTTTGCCCCAGAGCCGCTGAGGCCAGGCACTGAAAGATGCACAGTAAAATTAAATATCTAAAAATTCATCTTTAATTAACAGAATTGGATTAAAGCTAGACACCATCACATATCATACGAGAAATGGCTGAGCTGGCTTCCAAGTGTTCTAATTCAATTAGGACGCAGTGAGTGACACTCGGACGGGAAAGGTTAATTGGGGGCGCCAGAACGCAATCATTCCTTACCTAACCAGTCATTAAACTTCTTAACCTCTGAGGGCAGTCCCAGCTCGGTGAAATCGCCTGTGTGGAGAAGGATGTCCCCATAAGGCATCTGGATACCATCTGTTCTGGAGTGTGTATCTGAGATGCAGACAAACCGCGTGTGGCCCGCTGGTTTTGGAGTATCATATGGGATGGGGTCGACCCTAAAGTAGACATAACAGATCCCATAACAGTTAAACATATTAGAACCCTTGCAATTGTCATCTCACATACATATTGACTGTTATCTGTGAATGCACCGAGACAAACAGAAGCAAAGGCACAAGGGCCATTTGTTACAAGGGAAACATTTGGATGGGAAAAAAAAAAAAAAAAGAAGACAGGCTAGCCCACCTACAACCCCACTGCGCCAAATTCAAAAAGTCTTACTTACCTGGTAACAAAATTAAAAGGGAGGAATATCTTATTCATAGAGACAGAAATAACCCAGAAAACTGATGGAGTGATTAATGGTGAAGTTTAGGGATATTGAACCCCAACTGGGGGACCAGAATTATGCTATTTTGCCTCTCATCAAGCTCCAATTGATCCCACTACTCATTAGGAAATGGATAACTAATTTATTCCTTCTTAAACATGCATAACTTAAGCAATGAACTAATTTACAGAGAAGTCTGCACATGCTTTGCCAACTGAGATATGGAGAGACACAGCACTTATATTTAATTTCCTTTCCCTAACCATTCAGCACCTGTATCTTCTTGTTTTTGCTAAGAGATTCACAAATTAAATTGTGGGAAGAGAAGGTATGCCAAACTAACAGGGATTCATAAAAAAAAAAAAAAAAATCAGATGTAAAAAGAACTCTGTCAAGATGTCAATGAATTATCTCCAGTCCCCGTTCCACCTTAGGTTACTAGGAATGCTCAAATGCCTGGGGCAAAGATTTTATTCAGTGTGAACTGTAAGGCTCTTAATGGTATGTATATATCTACATATGCATTAATATATGTATAGTTTTAGAGACTGAAGTGCTGTGGAATTACACTAGGGCATAAGAATCAAAAGGCAAAATGATCAACCCGAAGCCAAGAAAATGAAACAGAACATTCTCATTTAATTGAGTGTAACAAAGTGTACTAAATAAACTTGGTAAAGAAATGCAAATCTGACTCTTCAAGCATACAGTTTTAATTATTTAAGGGGTTTGTAGCGGAGTTAAGGATGCCTTAACTATATTAACTCTCCACTGACAGCTTGCTCTAATTTCTCTGTAGGAATGTACACTTATTTTGGATTATGGGTGAAAAAAAGCAGTTATAAATGCAAAGAGAAGGTCACAAGAGAGGCAAATATGCAATGTGGAGATTAGAGTGTGAAACATTAAATAAGGAACAATATTTCATATCACAACCCCACCCTTGATCGTTAAAATGCAGCAGAGAGCACACTGAAATCTCAACACAAAACTCCCTGTGCATGCTGCCGTACAGCTTTTGTTTAATTTCCCTTTCTTTTTTCCATTTATTTTTTAAAGAAAATCTGTTTTAAAGTATGGCAATTTCAGAGAGGGGAATAAAGACATCACTATGCAACCTGGATAGACTCACTATTCTTTAAAGGCTAATCCTTTATTTTATCTTTGTCAGAAAATAATGCTTTTAGAAGCAAGAGGAAAAAGATGAAAGCAAGAAGGAAGGAAAGGACTTCAACCAGTGAGTCTAATTGGAAACTCAAGAAGAAAGTTTCACTTCTGCATAAAATTATTAGACTTTTTTTCCTGCAAAGTTTAGAAATTAATAATAACGCTGTAACCATAGAGAAAATTCACCAATTGACTGAGATCTCATCTGGACCTGGACAACCTCTTGATTCTATGCAATACTGCTTGTGGGTTTTTTTTTTTTTTTACTCCACGTCTTCTTTTCCATTACTGAAACTCTATGAAATTGAAGTTTCTGTCTCCAATCATACCAATATCTCCTGCCTTCTGAAAGTAGTTAGCCCAGAGAATGAATGGCAATACCCTGCTGCAGTAGCCTGGGTCTCCCTCTAAATGTGATAGGTAATATTCCACACCCAGTGTTAAGATGCTCACTAGGATGGGACTGTGTGATTTATACACACCAGGAGAGTACCCACCAACATCTGAATGGAAATTAAATAATTCAACTACTGGGCTTGCAAATATATGGGTAAGTAAAATATATTTTACTTTATATGTAAGTGTGTATGTGTGTGTGTGTGTGTGTGTTTCTTTATTTTTCAGCTTTCATCCTAATGGTAATATATAGAAATAGTCAACCTTTTCTCCCATTCTGCAATTCAATTAAGTTAGACACACCTACTGCATCAAAATCCTTTGGGAATCCATCCCAATTTATCAAATGGGCATCATGGTCACCTTCTGAATTTACTAAACAGAAAGCAGCACAGATATAAATCCCTCACTATGACTAGGCCCCTATTCCATGAATCTCCCCAGTTAGGGCAGAGAAATATTCCATGGCACCTAATTCCCATCTTAGTTAGCTCCATACTGGGCAAACACTCTCTTGAGGCTCTGGGCAACACCACTCAACTTTTGAATCACTCCAAACTTCTTTCCTACCCACTCATCTGTTAAGAGAAACATTTATGTGTTCAGCCAAACTCACAATTAAATAATAGCCAAGGAAAGGTAAAATACAGGGAATAGCAAAAGGGGGAAAATGTCTTTTATGTCTTCTATGCTTGGAGCTGAAGTGGACGGTAAGACTAGCAGAGGTCTTGCCCATAGACACTACCAACTTGATGTGATCAATGAGAAACAATGAGTAGACATTTGGGAGACATATGGAGGATTGATTTGAGATAGGGAATTGGGGGAAAGAAAAATAGGCCCAGGGTCACAAATGCAGAATTTACATAGGTCACCTAACCCAGAAGAACTGATGTCCTTTGTTATCCACATGACTAAATACAAGGCAAGAGATGGTTTCAAAAGACAGTACAGCATGTCAGAACCACTCTGTAGGAAACATGACAAATGTCACCTGGTGGTTATAGAAAGGGAGACATTTCAACCCAAGGGCACTCAGAGTTGAAAATAAGATGTCAAGTACAATGGTCAAGGTACAGTGGATATAATTAAAGTTGAGACAACCCTAGGGAAACGACTATTCCAAAAATGGGACATTTGATAAAAAACTCAAAAAGAATGTCAAGGCAATCAAATTTTTTCCTTGTAAAAGCACATCTAATGGAGGCCCTGACTGCTACTGAAGATCTACCTGTTCACATTGTATAAAGACCCTCATACTAGATTTTCCCCCTTTAGTTAGCAACTCTACCACTTAAGTTTATACTGGTGAACTCTCAAATGACCTAGTATTTCCCTCAAGGCATCATGTCAAATATCCTAGCAAAATCTTCACCAAGGCAATCTAACCCTCAGAGCCAGATTCAAATATCAGAGTGAGATTTGCAAGTAGACCTGAGTACACTCAGGGGAAACAAGGTGACGTGGGAAGATGAGAAGAAAACACAGCATCAGAAAATCACAGGGCTGGACAAAACCTTACAGGGCATTGTTCAATGCTTTATATTATGTTTGAATCTCCTCCACCCGTTCCTTGCTTTGTTGCTGTTGTTATTAGGTGCCATGAAGTCAATTCCACCTCATGGTGGCCCTGTGAACAATAGAACGAAACGCTGCCCAGTCCTGTGGCATCTTCACTATTGTTGCTATGCTTGTGCCCATCACTGCAGCCACTGCCTAGCTGACATAATTCCGGTCCAAGGTTTCCAGAGAAGCGGAGCTCCCTATCATCCCCCTTCCTCGAACAGCCTATTCTGTTTGTTGATAGCTCTACTTTGTTAGAAAGTTTCTGATCCAGATTCTACACCTCTGAGAAATCTGGATACTTGGCCTGGAGTCAGAGTTACAATTTTGGCTGAGTCATTCCATTTGGGAAAGTTACTTAATTCCTTTGAGCTTCATTTTTTCTCATGTATAAAATGGGAATATTTTTGTTAGTTGCTGTTTAGTTGACACCAACTCATGGTAATCCCATGTACAACAGACTGAAACACTGCCCTGTCCTGTGCCATGGTCCTTGGGACCTCAAGACCACTGTCATAACAGCTATGTATTCTGAGTGTCTTCCAAACTAGGGAGCTCATTTTATGGCACTATGTCAGACAATATTCTGTTTTGATCCACACGGTTGTCCTCTGCTACTTTCTAAAGTAAATTGCCAGGCTTTCTTTCTAGTCTGTCTTAGTCTGAAAGCTCTGTTGCAACCTGTCCACCATGTATGATCCTGCTGGTATTTGAAGTACCAGTGTTATAACTTCCAGCATCATAGCAACATGTAAGTCACCACAAATGGAAAATGAGAATAATGATACGTAATGTGCTATGTTGCCATGAAGGCATAAATTGTCAAGTACTGAGCCTGCACAGAGTGCACATTCAAAAGCAGAGAGGCAGAATAGGATACAGGTGAAGCATGTTCGGCGTCTAGAGCCAAACTGCCTGGCTCTGAATCCCAGCTCCACCTTTATTAACAGTGGGGCACCAAACAAGTTGCTTAAGCCTCTGTGCCTTGGTTCCCTTCTCGGTAAAATGGGTACTAAAACAGTGCCAATTGCATAGAATTGTTGTGATGATGAAAGGGGATAATGTATTCAATGCAGTTAGAACATAGACAGGACAACACCCATCACAGTACCGAGTAGGTAATTCAAGTCAGTAAGTACTTTTATCCCCTTTCTGGCACTTCCTTCTTACTCCTACTTCTGCATTCTGAAATAACGGAGAGTAAGAATCCAGTCCCTTTCCATTTGACAGTTCTACAAATATTTGAAGAAATTTCTTATAATTTTCTCTACATGAAATAGTCACAGTTCCTTCAACTTTTCCCTGTGTGACATAAATTCAAGTCCCCTGAGAATCTTATTGATCTCTTTCTAGACACAAATAGTCATACGTAGTGTCCTGGGCTCATGGTTCATGTGAACTCATGGATTAATGAGCTGACTATCAATGACAAATGGCAGCACAAGCTATGGAAAGACAATACTGAACACACTGGTGGGCTTTCCTAGAGAAGCCCAAGCTGTCAACTCCAGACATTTTCTTATTAGGTGTCCAAGTTCTATGCCAAGCTTCAAATCTTGTCCTTGAAGCTTGATTGCAAAATGCTTACATATCTCATTG